CTTCAGGCTCCAATATGGGTTGGCATGGTACTACCCGTAAAACAACCCATCGCCGTTGAGTGGATTCTGACTCATAACGACCCTACAGGACAGAGCAGAGCTGCCCCAGAGGGTTTCCAAGGCTGGAATCTTTACGGAAGCACACTGCTACATCTTCCTCCTGTGGAGTGGCTGGTGGGTTCGAACTGCTGACCTTTCAGTTAGCCGCCGAACGCTTAACCACTGCACCACCAGGGCTCCTTCTGGCATGATATTAGTCTTCTAAATTTTTTTTTTTTGATATTTTGTTCCTCATGGAATTTTTGCATTAATTTTGATTATTTAAAATACTAAATCCCAACATCATTTATTTGAATGACTGAGTTTTTTGATGCCCCCTTACATTTTGAGCCTGCTGTGGGTGCCTCACTTGCCTCACCCTACCCCTGCCCTGTTCTGATACCTTTGTTCTGTTGCAAACTGCTGCATCCCATATGCCCATCCTCTTTGATTAACCTTCGATGCTCATCCCCTATTTCCATGCATCCATATGTCAAAGAGGGAACAGAGAATCCATTTTAAGTGTCTTTGAAGAAAAGAGCATATAATTCTAATAAATATACCAGATAAGCAATTGAAAACTCTGGAAGTTTTGCATCCTTGGTAACAAAAATCTCTTTGAATCTCCCTTTGGCATACCATTTTGGGTGAAGCCAAAAATGTAAGTAGCAATAACTCTTCCTTTCACTCCCCCAATTCCCACTGTTGCATAAAGAAGGAAAAAACGCAAACCAAAACATTACGTTCCCGAGTATCACAAAATGTTTGATCTTTCAAAACAGAAATTATAATAAACATTTTCTTGTTCTTGGTTTTACACTCCTTTGAAAACTTGTTTCTTTGTCCCTCCAAATAAAATCCTGTGCAGTTTACACTTGGCGTCACAGGAATCTACTCCATCATTTCAGTATGTGAACGGTCGGCGAAGGACAGAATCTTCAGGAAAAAAAATCAATCTCAATCTTTTAGCTGATTTTTCACTCAGTAAAGGCTGCAAAACAAGAGCCCTGTCCATTCTCACTGTGACACGTCTCATCCAGGCCCTTTACCTCATTACCTGCAAGCATGCAATCACCTCTAGGTCCTCCCGAAATCTACCTGGCCTGTTGTGAACAGGTCATCTTCCCACATCCGTGCCTTTGCTCCTTCGCTCCTCTGTTCCAGAACCAGCACCATCTCCCTGATGCCGATGAGATCATGCATGTATAGGTGGCTTTGCTTTTAGACGTAACGCCACAGTTCAAAGTGGATGGGCCCTTTCTTGCACCATATTGCCTTCGTAGATTGCTATCTCATGGAAACCAAGGTAGAATCGAGTAATACCCAAGTCTTTGGTCCGTGGTTGTAAATGAATACATGGTGAAATCTGAAGTAACCGGATAATGCTCGTTAACACCTGATACAATTCTAAGAGTACAACTCTATCAGGTTGGCACCACCTTTTTTTACCTCGTTTATAGATGACGAAACTAAGACAGCAGAAGGTTAATGAATTTCCCCAAGACTACACAGCTAACAGCAGCGGAACCGGAATTCAAACTCAGGTGATCTGGCTCCAGATCCGAAGCTCGTAACCAGTATGTTACACTATACAAGGCTATCACTGGGAAAACTGTGTTATTTATGGATAATTGACATGTCAATACAGCTGTCTGGCAGTTTGGGGGACTATAATCTATCATCGCTGTAAGCTATTGTCACTGCTCCTTGACTGAAGCATTACCTCTTAGCCAGCCCTGGTGGCACAAGAGTTAAGCGCTCGGCTGCCCACCGAAAGGTCGGCAGTCTAAACCCACCAACCGCTCCACAGGAGAAAGATGTGGCAGTCTGCTTCCGTAAAGATTACAGCCTTGGAAACTCTATGGGGCAGTTCTACTCTGTCCTATAGGGTCGCTAAGAGTTGGAATAGCCTTGATGGCAATGGGTTTGGTTTGGTTTGGCCTTCTGTCTGGCCAGCCTCCATCTTATGCCCCAGCCAGCCAACATATTTACTGTTACGGCCAGGCCCTGGTTCAGGCTCCCCAGTCATCCTCCTCAGTCTTCAAAGTTCACTGCAAATCCTTCCTATTTTGGAAGCCATCCCTGAGACTATAGGTCACACCTCTTTCCCTTCTCCAAACTCCACATGGATTTACAGTCTGTAACAGTGGTTCCCTTCTTTTCTCAGCACCAAGGCCCCTTCTGAATGTCAAAAGTCTCCTCAAGTCCCCATGTAACAGTAAACATGTAACCCATGTGGTGCTTCTAAGCCGTGGACCTCAGCCCATGCAGCTCATTCCAATCACATAAGGAGCTTTGATCAAACCCAATGCTCAGCCCGCCTCCTAGACCAAATGAATTGGCATCTCTGGGGCTGGTGCTCAGGCACAGTATTTCGTCAAGCTCCCCAGGTGATTCCAGTGGGCAGGCAAGTCTGAGGACCACTGGTCCGGCACATCCTGTTTTACACTCTGCAACATCCTTCATAACATGCTCCCTACTGTTTTGACCCTTGGAGGCCTCCGTCAACAAGTCTGCAAGCTCTTAAAGGCAAGAATAAGCCTTGGTATTTTAAGCCCTTGATGCTCAGTGTGGATCATGGAGCAGCAGCAGCAGCACCTGGGCGCTTGTTCAAAATACAGATTCTCAGGCCCCTCAGACCTACTAATTCAGCAACAGCATTTTAACAGGATCCCCTGGAGATTATGTTATAAATGCAGCTTAATGAGGGATTCACAAATAGAAATGTTGCCACGTCTGTTTTCTTGCACAAGAGAGAGAAACGACTGAGCTCTTGAAAGTTCTGGTGATACATGATCAGCTTTAAAGAAAAGCCATTTGTTAGCTAAAAGTAGAATTTACGCCTTGATGAGGGTTAGAAGCCTAGGAACTACGTAACTGAGCCCAACTCCGATATGAAAAGTCAGACCCTGCGACGCCAGCCCATTGTATGTGATCTGAAGGCGGTTTCACTCCCTTGCGGCACTTGGGGTCTGAATACAGGCAGATCATCTTACCTGAACCCAGATTTGGCCTGATGACGATGGGTGAAGAGGTGGGCTTTAAAAGATGCATTTGAAAGGCTGACCCAATGAAAAGTTCTTCTCTGCTTAGCAGTAAGAAATGGCGTGAAGCTGAATTTAGCAGTACTGGCGCCTGCTGACCGAAAGAAAGGTCGGCAATTGAACCCACCCAGAGGCTTTATGGGAAAAAGACCCGGCGATCTGCTCCCATAAAGATTACAGCCTAGGAAACTCTATGGGGCATGGGGCAGTTCCACTCGGTAACACATGGGGTCGCTATGAGTTGAAATCGACGTCACCCAACAACATTCAGAGGCACATCTAAGGTATGGCAGGTATGGTACGTGCTCTGGACGCCAGTTGAAGGGGGAGGGCGCACGTGCACCACCAAGCAGTCCTTCCTCAAGCATGGTAGCGGGGTGCGCGCCACACTTGCCCCTGGGCGCAATTCCAAGGGGGTGCCAGACAAGGCACAGAATGGCATTCCGAGGCACCACAAATATGAAAGGCACCTAACTGAGGCAGCCGGACAAGAGGAGGGAAGGAGTCTCTGCTGATACGTTGCTGCTATCCATGTTTATTCATCTTGAAATTGGGGAGGGGGGTGCAACATAGAAATTGCCCCTGGGCGCTCCTTAGCCTCGCTAAGGCTCTGAGGGGCGCAATTTCAGTGCTTGCCATAGGCACTAGTTTACGTAGACACGCCTCTGACAACATTAACATACCGATCCGGGAAAGAATGGGGACTTCACAACATAGAATTTCTCTTCACCATATTTCTCTAAACAGTCTTGCAATTTTTAATATTTAAAATAGCTTAAATGGAAATTAATTCATTAAATTCGACATCAATACATAGAAACAACTTACCATATGTCACTGCTTCTAAGGCACCATTGAATATAACACACACCATTATTTTATATCCGACCAAGAAAGAAAAATGCGATGAATTAAATTAGGACAAGTCACTGACTGTAAGATTCATCCCAAATTCAGAGAACACAAAATCTGAGGAAAATACGTCTTAGAATTGTTGAAATTCAGTAGATTAGATATACAATACAAATGACTTTCATGAGAGGATAACAACATTCTTGTCACAAATTCAAGGTCCAGTGTCATTGTAGTGACCTGGCTCCTGCTAATGATGTGATATTATCTCTTTAATTGACTTTGCCAAATGCTCAGCACCCATATTCACTCTGCCTTGGTGTGTGTGTGTTGGTATTAACCATGAAATCAGACTATTACAAAAATTCAGAGCTTCTCCTTTGAGGGCAAAAATGGTGCCCAACCATTGCCTGCAGAATGTCATCCATTTTCTTCATCACAAACATGGCACATGTGGAGACCACTGTGCATTTTTACCAAAAGGATACTAGCTACAGAGAACGGGAGAGTCAAGAGGGTGCCCACCTCTAATTTCGAATGGGCCAGTAGACCTCGGCTAAGGCCTGTCTTGTGGTTCAGCAATGCGCCACTCCTGCTGGTGGGGCTACACCCCTAAGACACATCCAGGTGCTGCCTTAGGAGCCTCCAAGCACAGCTATCAGGATTTCAGAAGTAGAATCACTAATGCACTTCATAGTCCCCGGAAC